TCTGACAACTGCTATTTGTTAATTGCACAATTTTCTATTCAAACATAAAGATAAAAGAAAATACATTCATTCAACAGATAATAAGGATACATTGTGTAACCTCGCAGCATCTTTGAACCAAAATGCTTCTTCAAACGCAAAAACAGTCAGAAATGAATTTCGGCAGCACTTCGTCGACATATCACGCCTTGACTGAACGCTGCTGGTTTAAAATATACTTACTATACTACTTTATGATTTTTTTTAAGTTATGTAATATTTGACCACTCTGATATTATTTATCTAACTGTAGGTATGGTTGACTTCACATGTAGCGTAACATATTGTCCTTTAGATCGCTTTTATTTCGTAAGACATAAAAGGTTTTTCGTGTAACTGTTGTGTTTGTGCTTGTGCTGTTGACTATGCCAATAATCAAAAAGCTTATTTAGCTTTGGTTTTTCAATATTTGTTAAAAAAATTTATAGATGAAATGTCGAGGACGTCGGTTTATACACTTCATCAGCTCCACAACCCGACCAAGTGAGTAATTAATAGTTCATCCTAACAGGAACTGATTACAGGGATAAAAATTATCTTGTGTGAATTCAAGTCATAATATATATGTAGGTAGGTACCTAAGCTATATATCATCCAACTCTGTTCATCCGTTACAGCGTGAGAGTACTTAAGAAACATAAATACCTACCTGCTCACAAAATTTCATATTATAATTTAAATAAATGTAAAACCTTCAAAAATGAAGGTTGTTATTTTATTACCTATATATAGTTCCTACTAAATAATAAAAAGCTATCTACCTATAGTTGCTGCGAAGACTGTAAATTTTTTTCCTCACGTCATCTTTCGTCGCATATGGCTTTATATTTTTATAAACTTTACCAACTTGTCGAGGTCTTCATTGTTTTTAACAGTATTTAAATAATGTTTATCTTTCGGATTCCACAAAGACGGGCACGTTTCAAATAAAAGAATAAACTGTTTTAAGTAATTTTTTGCTCATTACCATAGAATTATTACCCAGTAGAAACGCAGTCTAGTACAAAACACGAGCGGCAAAGTGACGCAAGTTTATTATGTTAGTGTGCGCGAGTCGAATGTGCCTACGCTCATCATACGCACACATATACGGCATTCAGTGATACCAGTTTCTGGCGTTTGCAATCAAATTATGCAAATTACATTTTTATTGATTAATTATAAATAATCGATAAAATAAAGATTACGTATTACGTACGATGATGTATTTTATGACAATATAAAATGTAATAAAATAAACACGATAATGATGGTACTAATATACCTTTTAATATACATATTTTAATGGTACAAAAATGCAGACGTAATAAAATTTAAGGATATTATGTTATACACAATTATACGATTTAATGCAATAAGGACATCATGTAATGTTTAATTTTAACCGAATCCAAAAAAGGAGGAGGTTCTCAGTTAATAAAAAAATACATGCTAAAATTTTAATGGTTGTTTTTAAAGTTACTCGCTTTTAATTGTTTGCAAATAAAATGTCATTATACTATAGTCTAAAACTTTTACTTGGCCAATGAATAACGCAATAAAAGTAAAACAGCTTTAAAACGGCGTCAATAGATCGTTTAAAATAGGCACCCATGAGGCACCAATTGTTAATATTATGATAATACTTTTTCTATAAAAATAATCATTTTTCTATAAAAATTGTGAATTTTTTTGTTCACAACTGGCAACGTTTGTATCATGATGGCTTAGGTATTCTTTTGGTTTTACGACTGATTTAAATTTAAAAATTGAAAGTGAAATTATCTCTGAAATGTAATACCATCACTTTTTTAGGTTTATCATCACTGTTGTGACAATATTTTAAGTACCTAATTTTTACAATTTGTAGCGAGCTCTTCTCCGTAAGACGAGACGATGCTCACCGTAGATTACTGTTTAAATAATGCACACTGACGTGTTGTTGAGTGAACTTACGCGGTTTCGCATTAGTTTGTATTGCTTCACTTTCGGTGCGCGTAATAGGATTCTCTACGTAATAATTCTATGCTCATTACTATCAACGACAGAGTGTACTTCATCATCGTCACTCGGACGTCGTTCCGCCATGACTAAGGGCGAATATTGACAGAAAAAAATATCGCAAAAGCTTACATTTCAATGTTATTGAAGCCAGTATCGCGGATTTCAAAATTTCCGGATAACTTGTGATATTATCACGATACTGCGATACGGCCTATTATACTATCAATATTATCACAATATCGTGACAATATTGACAATGTAACATGCCCCAATAATTCATTCAATGATATAACTTGCGTAATGTAAAGCTGCACCTTGAGATACTATTGTCATCTAAGTGAACAACATGGTCGGAAAGGGACGCCCTAGACGAAGGTTTATCGACCAAATCGGCGATACATTAAAAATGGGCCAGATTAGGAGTACCCTTAACCGACGAGCGTGTATGCGTAGATATATGGATGTAAAGGAGGTGAGAGAGGTGTGTCAGGATCGCGCCAAATGGAAGTCCGTAGTCTCTGCCTACCCTTCTGGCGTGAGTGTTTGTGTTGTGTTGTCGGTTGACTCAAGTTGCCTTCAAAATCTTTCAAAACCTCTGTAATATGCAAGGAGGTTATAATTATTAAATATAGGGAGGCCGCACTTCATACTAGAGAAACGTTCCTAAATAGTGACCTTGAAATGAATGTAAGGCACCGAGTTAAGCGTTCCATTTCTTTCGAATAGAGTGTCCATGATACAATATTTTGAGTAAATTAATAGTGTATACAGCATTACGAAAACGAAATGCGTATTTTTTTCAATATAGAAAGTGCTAAATAGTGTTATAATGAAACTCCGTTTAATATTTTGATTACATTATTGCTTCAATACAGTATAAAACCTTACGGTAACTAGTGACGGCGTAGCGTGAGTTGACACCCAGGGCGGTTTTCTATCAAGCACTCCCCAAAATAAAACAAAAAATGCTATAGAAGCTAACGGGACTTTATTTTGCTAAAAAATTCTAATATATTATCAAAGTTAACTTTCTTGTCATTGTCGATAGATAAAATGGAAAGATTGGTAAGTCGCACTTGGTTCATTGTGAACCTTAAGTAAGATTTTATTAACTTGACTTTTGAAAAGCTTCCTTCACATGAAACTTAACAGTAAAAAAAATCTTAGACACAGCGCTAGATTCGGAACAAATTCAGAATAGCCCAATTTTACGAGAAAAGCTCCAATGAGTTACATTGAACTGCTTCTTGGGAAGAAATGCTGGCAGCTTTCAAGTCGTAAAATCTCCATCCATCCATATCCTGTAATCCATCCAATCCATAAAAAATAATTCTGTGGAAAAATCATCGTAGATTTTGTCAAATTTTGAACTATTACACCATAGATAAATATATATGTAGCAAGCTATATTACACGAAGATCTTCATCAGGTGATGTTAGCAGAGTGTAAGGCTGAACAAAACTAAATGTTACGAGAATATCATCTATTGCTCTGTAGCGATGGTCTAGTTCATATATCTAGTTAAAATATGTCAAGACATTCTAACATAGCTCTCTGCAGCTCCTCTGGCAATGTTAGTCCAGAATATCGGGTCATTTCTCCTGGTAAACGTTTTCGAAATCTCCTCATTCCTCTTCTTCCTTCAATCGAAATCTCCACATTCTCACATTTTTCGTTACGTAGGAAATAGCTTTTTCCACTAGTTGAATTCGTTGGCTTTGAAGAAAAAAGATTTTTATCACATACTTTTCCAGTGATAATCTAGATTATTGTTTTATTATTTAGTATTTATTATTGTGTCTGACTAACTTCTTTTAGTATTAGACACCAAAAGGAAAGATAGTATAAAAAAACTGAAGTCACACAAAGCTGGTAAGAGTGTAAATGCTGCTTGTCTTGTATCGACGTTTTCTCTATAGATACTAGTTTTTTTTTAAATTATTCTGCAGTGGTTTAACAGCGTCATGATGCGCAATCCATCTCGTCCCTAAGAGTATTTTGACGGATACGCTTACATTTTTTATTAAAGTTTCCCATTGACGTGTGGATGTTGAAAATAAACTGTAAACTCTTTCTCCTGTTCCGAAAAAAAGTTAAACTTGAAGAGAGAAAGTTACTCCGTAAGCGAGTGCACTCCACATAGATTAAGCGAATGATTAGCACAAGAAGTTTTCTACGTGGTAAAGCCGTGCTGCAGCTATGTTAGTAGTATAGATAGCACAAATGGTTCGGCTTGACCGGGGAAGGACCACGCACTCACAGAATATCAGCGTAAAATAGCAGCTCAACACTAATGCATTTCGTATGGTCAGTGTAGAGAACCGGAAACCCTTTTTACTGGAAAAGAGGCACCCATCTTAGTCCTCACGGGTGACAACTCATCTGCACTTTGATTCACAAACGAGGATAGATGTAGATGTCTATGGGCCGCAACAACCACTTACCATCCGGTGGACTGCGTCTGCGTGCTCGTTTGTCACCCTGTCATTTGACAACGTCAAATTTTAAAATAGTGTTGTCATCTATAGCGTAAAATGCACCGCCTAGTTTTTAGGGAAGGAACATTCGTGTTTTAGTATAGTTTTTTTTCGTGTTAATTAAAAATAAACTTAATTGAATATGGAATAAACCAACTATGATTAGCAAAAAAAATGTAACATTTTTGTTCTAGCATACGTCTAAAATATTACTTTAAGTCAATAACTGTCTAAACGTTGGTAATGTTTTTATTTTGTGTAAAAATTTATCAATGTTAGGAGATAAAATACAAAACTTAGTGCCTGTCTTTCTAAGAAAAATGAGGAACAGTTACAATGTTCCAAGCGCTCACTCCATATATTATAACCTCCTTGGTAATATGACGCATCAATATATTTCGTAATATTTGTCATGGGCAAAAGTACAACTGTACGAGTCCCTTGCTAAAGAAAAAAGAAAACTCCGTACTTTGAATGACATGTTCAGAATGTTTGACAGCGCTTCATAAAATTATTATTATGTTGAATAAACAGTGACATGTTTTATTTATTGGTAATTTATGACGTGCAATTGATGTGGAATTTACTCCTGTCTTAATGGTTTCGAAAGCTTACTGTGAAATAATTACAAAAGTCTTATATTATATAATTCTGTTGTGAAAGTGTTTTTGACATTAAGGTATATTTTTATTGTTGATTACTTTTACTTTTAAGGGTTAAATTTCTTAGTACATTCTATTTGATTTATTCATGATTTTACTATTTGATTATAAATTCCTTTCGCCTAATATATTCATTATTTGTCCTTGCCCGTACCTCTATTATTTGGGGTCAATGACGAATTCAGATCGATTTAGACATTTAAAATACTTAATATTATGTACCTTTATTTCAATAAACATCTATTTTTTTATATCATGCGAAAGACTTAAAAGAAAGAACATTTTATATTAAGGGACATAATTTGAAGTTTCAGGTCACATGTATAATGTTGATAGATTAATACCTCATCAAAACGGTCATAACTAAACAAAAACGAGTTTGGTGTATTGTGACAAACAGAACCTGACAAGAAGAAATGAGTAATGCTGCAGGGCCTGTTTTGAATAATTTGCCACCTGGTGTAAATCCTGAAAATAATATACTACCCGGAGGACCTGTTATAAACCAAATAATGAATCGAAATAGAAATAATAATCAAAATCCACTTTTTAATGTTAGAGAGAGGCTTTTTCATGCATTATTTTTCAAGTTTGCTGTTGCATATGCAAGAACTTTTCCAAGACCTGTACGAAGGTTTTTTGAATTCCTGGTGCTATTGAAGGCACTTGTTGCTTTCTTTGTTCTTGCTTACATTCATATAGCATTTTCAAGAACACCAACAACGTGTCTCAATCATGTAAAGGACTCTTGGCCTAGAGATGGCATACTCCGAGTAGAAATATTAAGAAATCCATCACAAGATTATACTATTGAACAGAGCTATGCAAAGGAAAAAAAATTGAAAAAAGATAAGGAGGAATTTAATTCGGTGTTGGGGATGTTGGCTACTGAAGGGTAAGTGTTATTTGTAATTGTTATTAAACAAGTATTAATATTCAATAGAATGAATTAAAGGCAAATTCTAACATAGAATTAATTTTAAATTTAATGTGCATCAATCAAAACTAAAATGTCTTAAATATATTATATATATTTAAGACATTTTAGTTTTGATTGATACTAAAATGTCTTATATATATATATATATATAAATAAGTTTAGAAAATAATTGAAAGAGGAAGAGAGGAGGATATTGCCAAGTGAAATGATGCTATATAGTATATAACAACTTATGTTATATAGTTCCATGCAGTGTACATCAACATGAGGTGTGGTTAAACTATCTGTTCTATATGGCGCCTCTGTGTCTATGCAAACCTTATAAAACAAAGATAACATAGGGTACACCTAATGCCTATTGGCATCCTCTACCAGTCTACTCTGTGGTAGTGTAGTAACCCTCGTCATGAGTTACTCGACTGTGCATTGTAAGGCACTTTTAGAGATTCTCTAAAACTGCCACCATATAGCACATACTCCTATAAATTTTAGAATAAATTTAATGAGTCATTATTCAAAAATATTTTTGATTGTATGTATGTTACATATAATGTGTATTTATATTATTTATTTGCTAGCAAAATAAAGTCTGAGAGTGACTTGTTAATGTTAATATCATTAATGATTTATCTTTGTTTTGATTTGAATTCTTGGTTTCAATTTTATTGTGGTTTCATTTTCAGGTTCATTAACATAGAGTCATCATCTAGCAATAACATACAGGATGAATATTTAAGTGATGGCCATGATTATGGAAACCTATCATATTATGAAGAACCTACAGAAGATACAGCAGATGACCACGTCATTGAAACGGTCTATTTATTGAAGAGCAAGGATGATGCAGCATCTGATGACCGTGAACCTGACCTGAATACTACAATCTACCCTGAGGTAGATGCAGAACCATCTACATCCATATGGGAGGGTATTATGAGCCTTGTAGAGGATATAGATGGCGATTCAAAATTGTTTGATGTAAGTTTTATTTTTTTATTAAATTTAAATAACAATCAACCTTATAATCCAATCTTGTGTTGCAATCCACCTGATGGGAGTGGTCAATGCAGTCTCGTCACCGTATACACATCATACACTAATGTGCCTGGGAGGCCTTAGTGACAATTATTTTGTTTATGCTTTTTCAAATAGCAATGTCCAATCAGTCCATTATGCTTTTTTAAACAGCAAAGACTAGTCAGGGCTCTTGCCAAAATATGCAGTTTATTCTTACTTAATACAGGTTATTACTATACTGGCCCTTTTACACCTCAGGTGACTTTGTCAGTGAAATGGGTAAGAGGTACTAAAAAGTAAAAACACTTTTTATATTTTGTTCATTTGAAACTGTAATTTACCCACGGCTATAAACGAACAAAGTATAAAACAAGTTTTGCATCCAGAATTTTATAGTGTAAAAAATATTTAAATTATACTATACAACTCATGTCATCACTCACTGTTGAACTTTGGATAAGATTTTAATGAATTGTGGTAAACTATATTTTGAATTAAATATTATTTAACAAATGTATGCCTATAATAATTTATTATAGAACATTTAAAAATAGCTACTGTCCACCTCTAAGTTAGAATCAGTGGAAATTTTAAAGTTAAACAATTGTTAGTACATATAAATAAATGCGATAACATTAAAAAAATTAAACATTGTGTTAAACAACAAACAGGCAACAAAAAGCAAACAGGTACTGTAAGGAATTGTTAAATTAATATTTTTGAGTGGTCGACAGTTCTGAAAATATTTATTGGTAACTGTTCGGGCTCACTTTATATTTTAATATACCATTTTAATTTGTTTCCTTAAAATTATATCAAATAGTTACATAGTTGCTGTGACTGTGGCTGTTGTGCGATGTGACTGAAAAATACTATAAAAATGTTATGGCTTTTGATGGCTGGCAGTATAACCATGCATTTAGACTTTAGACCAGACTGGTGAATGGCAGCACCATCGAAGATGTGAAACGTCTGGCTCTGCGACGTCCATCTGCCTACCAAGCGTGACAATAGAGATAAATTCTATGTACAACTAGCGAGGCCCACTTCCAGCAGTGAACTCATACGGGCCGATAAAGTAGAAGAAGAATTTACATAGCAATACAACAAAAACTAATCATATATTGTTATGATTAGACGCAAAATTGTATAAATATCAAGATATATATATCCACGGATGTATTAAATCGAACCTTGTATATTATGTATTTTTTATACCATTTTAATTTGTTTCCTTAAAATTATATCAAATAGTTACATAGTTGCTGTGACTGTGGCTGTTGTGCGATGTGACTGAAAAATACTATAAAAATGTTATGGCTTTTGATGGCTGGCAGTATAACCATGCATTTAGACTTTAGACCAGACTGGTGAATGGCAGCACCATCGAAGATGTGAAACGTCTGGCTCTGCGACGTCCATCTGCCTACCAAGCGTGACAATAGAGATAAATTCTATGTACAACTAGCGAGGCCCACTTCCAGCAGTGAACTCATATGGGCCGATAAAGTAGAAGAAGAATTTACATAGCAATACAACAAAAACTAATCATCTATTGTTATGATTAGACGCAGAATTGTATAAATATCAAGATATATATATCCACAGATGTATTAAATCGAACCTTGTATATTATGTATTTTTTAATAGTAAGTGATTATGTATTAATTATAATTTGACATATTAAATGTGGAATGTTTAATTTACTCTTTTCAGGAGTCCCTTGATGAGGCAGCTACTAATGATTCCTCAAAAGGTAAATGACATTGAGATATAGTATTTTTTATTTTTTCTATATTTCAGTTTAGCGTTAATTGCTTACGAATGTAATGCGTAATTTTAATCAAATTACATAAATGCACATTACAATGGTCAATAATTTTCAAAAATGTTATCTTGTCATTAGATTCAATAAACATTTAAACTAAAGAGGATGAAATAAACCAAAGAGGATGAACTAAACTAAAGAGGATGAATTTATTGTAGTCATCACATTTTCTAGATAGATGGAGATCACGTTAGTGACCTTATGACAGGTTTCATCTCATGTCCAGTCTTCTGTCACTGGGCTAGATATTATAGAATTATATGAATCAGATGTTATTTTTCTTACACTTGCACATTTTTAATTTCTCGTCTCAAATTTCTTGCGATCAAATGAAATGTAATCTTTTACTGTCTAGAAGTATTGCCATAATATTAATATTAAAATAGATATATATACACGTTTTTTTTTAATTCTTGCATTTATCGTGTCATCATCAGACCTTAAACCGTTTACTGTATGCCAAGAGCTAGACAAATGGGAAAAGTGCATTTTGTTCAATTTAATTCATATGTCAGGTAAAATAATTAAAAGTGTAAATTTATTACACCTAGTAAATTCAAGAGCTTTTTACATAAACACCTGTATTTTTATTAATTTACAGATGAAGATTATATACTCGAGTACTCACTTGAATATGGCTTTTTACGGCTATCGCCAAGTGCTCGTTTACGCCTCAAGATTCCTGTAAAAATCGTAACTTTAGACCCTCAGAAGGATGAATGCTTTGGAGATACATTTTCGCGTTTTGTTCTTGATGAATTTCTTGGCTACGACGACCTGCTTATGGCCTCTATAAAGACCTTGGCCGAGCAAGAGGATAATAAAGGTTATTTGAGGTGAGTGAATTAGAATCGCTACATATATAATTGTACAAATTTACTTAATTCATTATATTCTAAAACAACAAACAACAAGCTGCCTCGTTATTTATATGTAAACTAATATATTTACTGCTTTTTAAAGTATTCTCCATTACAATTACAATACAAACACTTCTTCATTACATAAGGACCATTGGTCTTAACTCTTAAGGCATGTGCTGATTGAAAACTATCGCTAAACCCTGGCTCTGCAGATGTCAAACCTCAACAAATCTTTAATTTTTGGAAAAAAATTAATACGCATGGTGTAAAGTCTGTGTGTGGGTTATGTCATGAGCTCCACCTTTTCAGAAGCCAAAAATGTCTGCCTTATTTGCAGTGTGGGACGGAGTATTGTCACAGTGCAATAGGATACAACTATTTGCTCGTTTTTCTCTAATTATTGACACTGAACAAACAAACAAATGGTGGCGTATCACTTACTGTCCTTTGTTCATAATGTGGTATCGTGCAGTAGGGACCCATCTGGGGGAGAAAAAAGCAATCATTTTTAAAAGAAAACATATGGAGCATGGGTCTGTGGGCATGTTTTTACATGCAGGATGAAAGATATCACAGTTTCTTCTGACTCCGTTAATGTCAAAGCTATCATCAAATCTTTGGTTTTTGGTAAGATAAAGAAATCACATGGTGGGAGGTCTGGACTGGGTACTTTTTCAGAAGCTAAAATGGCGTAGTCGTGTTCACACTCACTGGGGAGATCAGCTTTATCATTAAGTGGGCATACTTTTTTGAATGAGAGCAACAAAAAAACGGCCCCCAGTCCCCGGCGGCCCCGCTATTCCTGGCTACGGTGGCGACCATGGTAACGGCGGGGCAGGGGGTGCTAAGAATCTCCGGTGGAGGTTCGGTTGCCACCTTAGACGACTCGACCTGGCAACGTACAACGCACGCACCCTGAGGACTGACGAGAAGATCGTGGAGCTGGAAGAAGAGATAGACAAGTTGCGCTGGCATATTATAGGATTATCCGAAGTCCGAAGAGAGGGGGAGGACACGGTAATCCTCGAATCCGGCAACTTGCTCTATCACCGGGAGGGCGACCATCTGTCCCAAGGAGGTGTCGGATTTATCGTCCACAAGTCTCTCATTAACAACGTTGTAAAAATCGGGAGTGTGTCGACGAGGGTTGCGTACCTTATACTCAGAATCACCAAACGGTATTCGCTGAAGGTCATACAGGTTTACGCACCAACCTCGGCACACCCCGATGAGGAGGTGGAGGAAATGTATGAGGATATCTCTAGAGCCATGCATTCCTCCAAAACCCAATATACGGTGTTAATGGGAGACTTCAATGCAAAACTAGGCACAAGAGAGAACGGTGAGCTGAAAGTAGGGAAATTTGGAATAGGGCAACGGAACCCAAGGGGCCAGCAGCTGGCCGACTTCATGGAGAAAGAGGGACTCTTTATGATGAACTCTTTCTTCCAGAAGCGGCCCCACAGGAAGTGGACCTGGTCGAGCCCCGACGGTTCCACAAAAAATGAGATTGACTTCATTATGACGACCAGACGACAACTGTTCAGTGATGTCTCCGTGATCGCGAGGGTGAAAACTGGTAGCGATCACCGAATGGTTAGAGGCACACTGAACCTAAACGTTAAGTTGGAGAGGTCTCGTCTAATGAAGTCAACGCTCCGTCCCCCTCGTGCTCTGTTCCAAAGTCCCGAAACCTTTCAGCTCGAGTTACAAAACCGTTTTCAGTGCCTGGAAGACTGCAATGAAGTGGACGATATGAATGACAAGCTCGTGGAAACTGTCCATGCGGTCGGAGCTAAGTTCTGCAAGACCCGCCGCAGAAGAACACAAAAACTCTCCGATCACACTCTTAATCTCATGGCTGTTAGACGGGAGATGAAGCTACATTCTTCAACAGACTTGACAGCATACAGGCATCTGAACAGACAGATCTCCAAATGCATGCGGCGGGACTTACGCAACTTCAATACAGCTCGTATTGAAGAAGCGATCGAGCGGAACCAAGGCTCCAAAGTCTTTGCCAGAGATCTGTCTGCCAGAAAGAGCCAACTGTCAAAGCTGAAGACAGAGTGTGGCAGCATCGTTTCCGGGACACCTGAGATTTTGAGTGAGATTGAGAGGTTCTATGGGCAGCTGTACACATCATCGTTGGAGCCACACGCAAGTGTGAGTAACGATCCAAGAGCGAGTCTCATCCGACACTATTCCGAAGATATCCCGGATGTCAGTCTGAGCGAGATTAGGATGGCTCTCCAGCACCTTAAAAACGGTAAGGCCCCAGGCGAGGATGGAATTACAGCGGAGCTTCTGGAAGCGGGTGGAAGACCGGTACTTGAAGTCCTTCAGAAGCTCTTTAATTCCGTCCTCCATGGTGGCATTACACCGGAGGCCTGGAGCAGAAGTGCGGTGGTCTTGTTCTTCAAGAAAGGTGACAACGCTCTCTTGAAGAACTATAGACCGATTTCCCTTCTGAGCCGCGTCTACGTGCTGTTTTCGAGAGTCATTACGAATCGTCTCGCGCGCAGACTTGACGACTTCCAGCCTCCCGAACAAGCCGGTTTCCGAAAGGGCTTTAGCACCATAGACCACATACATACCCTTCGGCAAGTTGTACAGAAGTCCGAAGAGTACAATTTGCCACTATGTCTGGCGTATGTGGACTATGAGAAAGCCTTTGATTCCGTCGAAATTTGGGCGGTGCTGCAGTCCCTTCAGCGGTGCCAAGTTGACTGTCGGTATATCGAAGTGTTGAAGTGCTTGTACTGTAGGGCTACGATGGCTATCCGAGTACAGAACCAGAGTACGAAACCTATCCAATTGCAGAGAGGTGTAAGACAGGGTGACGTCATATCCCCGAAACTCTTTACCGCTGCATTGGAAGATGTTTTCAAGCTTCTGGACTGGAAAGGATACGGTATCAACATCAATGGCGAGTACATCACTCACCTTCGATTTGCCGACGATATAGTCCTTATGGCAGAATCGCTGGAGGACCTAAGCACTATGCTCAATGACCTCAATAGTGTTTCCCAACGGATAGGTCTTAAGATGAACATGGACAAAACTAAGATCATGTTTAATGTCCATATCACACCTATGCCGGTAGTTGTTGGGAACACTAAGCTCGAAGTTGTTGACGAGTATGTTTACCTGGGACAAATAGTCCGACTGGGTAAGTCCAACTTCGACCGAGAGGTCAATCGACGGATTCAACTCGGCTGGGCAGCGTTCGGGAAGCTACGACACATCTTCTTGTCAGACATACCTCAAAACCTTAAAACGAAATTGTACAACCAGTGCGTGTTGCCATGACTTACGGAACTGAGACGTGGTCCTTCACTGCTGGCCGTATGAGGAAGCTCAAGGTCGCTCAGCGAGCTATGGAGAGGGCTATGCTCGGAGTTTCTCTGCGTGATAAACTTAGGAATGAGGATATCCGCAGTAGAACCAGAGTGACCGACATAGCCCAACGGATTAGTAAGCTGAAGTGGCAGTGGGCCGGCCATATAGCTCGAAGAACCGACAACCGATGGGGAAGAAAGGTTCTCGAGTGGCAGCCTCGTACCGGTAGGCGAAGTGTAGGGCGTCCCCCCACGAGATGGAGTGACGACCTGGTAAGACATGCAGGAAGTCGATGGATGCAGGTGGCTCAGGACCGTGTTTTGTGGCATTCTTTGGGGGAGGCCTATGTTCAGCAGTGGACTTGTGAAGGGCTGTAATGATGATGATGATGACTTTTTTGAAGGAAAGTGCAATAAATAATTAATTTTTACTAATATATTGCCTACTAATTTTTGCTTCTAAAACAAAGAGGCTCTCACTGAATGGTTCTATTTAAAGTACTTTTTTCCCTTCTTTTTTCGTCAAAATACTTATTATTTAAACATATTGTAACAACGAATTTTATGATTGTTGGATATTGCTGAAGAATGTTTTAAAATAATTATTGTTGAGCCATTTGTTACAGCTAATTAAGCTAACCTCTCAGCCTCTGCATTTCTACCAATTACTACGCATTTTGATTTATGTTTAATAAATAATGTGCGTCAAATAGCTTGGTTTTTTTTTATAGGATAAGGGTGACAAACGAGCACACAGTCCACCTGATGGTAAGTGGTTGCTGCGGCCCATAGACATCTACATATATCCTCTGTTATAAATCAAAATGTAGATGCATTGTCACCCGTGAGGACTAAGATGGAATGCCTCATTTCCAGTAAAAAGGGCCTCCAGCTACCTGCACTCACCGCGCGAAACGCAGAGGTAAACCTCTACTTCACGCTGGTTTTCTGTGAGGTCGTGGTACTACCCCGGTTCGAGCCGGCCCATCCGTGCGACAGCAAAAGCTGCCGTATGGCTCTACCACTGTTGAATTACTTAGCATTGGTTACTTAGCATTAGTTTCTAGTCGCTGGTGGTCGGCAAGATGCACTTTTTCACTGTTGAAAATCGATCTAACCATGTGTATGAAACGTACCGTCTGAGCTGAATGCAAAAATATTAAAGTAAATAACATGTAATGAAACAAATATAACAAATAGTTTTAAAGACTTTATTGTTACAGGAACGTAATCACTGGGGAGCATTACCGCTTTGTCTCCATGTTAACGGCGCGCAGTTCTTACATAGCTGCGTTCTTCATAATGCTCGTTTTTGTAAGTATTGTCATTTACGTATTTGCTGTAATCTTTTATTCACTAACAACGGGTTTTGTCTGTAAATTGTTGTCGCTCATAAGTTAGAATAGTGGTTTGCAATTATTTTTTGTTGCGTACCACTTAGGGATGCCCGATTTTTTGTTTTGAATCGATCTACTGGATCGTAATGGATCGTAACTTCGTGAGTCGATTCACGATTTAATCATATTGCATTGAATCGATCTTATTCGATCTCGGAAGATCGCATCGTAATTGTATAAAAAATCACAGTATTAATGCAAAATTATTTATTTTAACAATGCCTATTACAGTATCCAGTGAGTTTTTCCAAATTATTATTTTTTAAATGTATAAAACTGGTTTTACATTATAAATTCCAGCTATCTACATTTTAACTCTTCAAAAATAATAATTTTGACAGCCGCACTGGAACTAGCCTATTACGGCTAATTTTTTCTAAAATAAAAGTAGCGTAAGTTACTCCTTGTAACATCGGCTATCTGCCTTTGAAATTTTCATAAAAATCAGCCCACCCGCTTTTGAGATGAGCCGGAACAAACAGACAGACATACAGACAGACAGAACAGGCAGACAGACGGACAGACAAAAATTTTAAAAATTTACTTTTAGTTATTATTACCGTATATACTTTGATATGTATTTAGTAAAAAACTGTTATTTTGACATTACCAACAGACACTTCAATTTTATTTATTTGTATAGAATATAGATAGGTAGTTACGATTTCGGCAATTGCTGTAGTAGAACTTCCTTCACTTTTGCTTAGCTCAGAATAAATGTATGTGATGACGTCTGAAATGATTTTTAAAATTGGTAGTATTTCCACTAGTTTTAACCATCTGTTTACACATTTTACATTGTTCACCCATGTCACATTTAATAAAAAAAGCCCATACGTTTGATTTGGTTGGAGGGGCCATATTATTCAAAAGTATTTTAAAATAATAGTTTACGCTCACAGAACAGCTCAACTTTTCGTATCGCAATAATACAAAGAATGAAAGATCATAGAACACTAACATATGTACCCGATAATAAAATAAAATATTATCATACCTACCTTCATATTTCATACATTACTGCTTTTGATGTAACTCGAAGCTACTCTCATTCAATGTGTAGGTAGGTAATCTTACTTTGTTTTAGCTATTCTGTCCCCTCCCCGGCAATACGATAGGTATGTAAAGATCGGTTCGTACGTTAGTACGTTACGGTTCGGTTGAAGTTTAGGTTTTAGTTGATACGATTTTTTCATACGATCTTATAGGTATACGATTCGATCTGGGCGAAATTCGCATTCCCTTGAATCGATTCAAAAATCGGTAGATCGTATGGCCGTGAATCGATCTTTCAGAAAATCGATCCAGATTGGGCATCCCTAGTACCACTTCTAGAAAGAGATCTAGTTCGCGTGCCCTTTTTAGCCGAAATGATAAATAGAATACAAACTGATATTCTCTAATTTTATTTTAATTGATTTATAATAATAGTAAAAATATTAAAAAATAATAAGCTAAGATCCGTGTAATAAAATAAAGTCTTACCTAATTTGAAGAGCACCTTCCGCCCTCCCTCAATTGCGTGCACTATCCCCCTCACCACTAATCCCAACACCACTAAACTAGGAAAGACGTACCACCGCCGATAATACGACACGTGTTTCGCCTCTAAACGAGGCAGTCTCAGTTGAAGTAGACTTAGCTGACCGCTAAGTGTGCGTCGAGCCAAAATGGATGTCCAATTTGGCAATAGACCAAAACTGCCTCACAACTCACCCACCATGATCTTTCGCAACTTCACTCCCCTGTTTGCCTATGTACAGTTTAATACAGTACATTTGCCTGATTTTGCACAGATTATCCATATTTTATACCCCCTTTTGACGGTTTTTAGGCATGTATTGTTTTAAATCCTGCTCCTGAACTTTACCATGCTCTCATCTATTGCAATCTTCTCTTAAGGTATGTCGAGCAATGGGTGGATTTTGTATACTTTATCGTAATCCGGGCTATTTCTTGCTGACATGACATTATTGTCATTTAAGTGTAAGTAATGCAAAAGCCAGCTTAATCTTTTCAATGGCATGAACATCGAAATGTAAGTATTATGCAAGTCCGGACCTGAAAACCAACAATCTCTGTAGCTTGGCGGTTTTTTTATACCCTTAATCAAGTTCAAAGCACCAAACACATTAATTCAGGCGTAGTGGAATTATAAGCATTTCCAGTTTGCGTAGCAGCTTTCAAACCAACTTTAAGGTTTGAAAGCGTATGATTTCTTGCAATTCGTCTGTCAAACACATGCGAAATAGTGCGATAGGCGTAATACTTACTAGTCCAGTATATGTGCTGGTACGCCCACATCTTCAGCAAACTCACCTTGTTGGGAAAGTGAGTAGTTCTTACACTTTGACGCTCTTGTTTGAAGATTGTTGGAGGTGCTCTCTTTCGCTATATGAGTGGCAACCTCTTGGAGGCAGCGTAGAACGAAAAGGTGTTCATTATCTTCTTCATCAAAATTGTAACTTTGCGGACGTTCCCCTACCATATCACCCAATAGCATGGTTTCGATCCGCACTGCAGCAACTGTCGGCATTGGAGGGTATCTACTCCAGACAGTTTTCAATATTCCCGTCAGTAAACACACGAGACATTCTGTAAGATATACAAAAAACACTATCACATCTTTACAAACAAATAAAACATTCTATCTGCGCGCTGGTTAGATACTCTAACCACCTAATTATGAGTGTGATATTAAATTAGAAACGCAAAATTACGTACATTATTTATCAGCTACATGCAAAAGTTGTTTATGTTAGTTCAAGTAATAATCGCTAGATAGCATTAATTTAAAGAAGAAAAAACCGAAATAGGTGGCTAGCGTAGCTAGCCATTGACCCTGAAAGAGTTAGTCCATACCTTAGTCGAGAGCGTGCCCCTTTAGGCAACTACAGAAATTCCTGGGGGTACGTGTACCACTAATTCGGAAAAACTGATTTAGAGATTATATCATTACTGTTAATACATACATAAACACTCACGCCTGTCACCCAGAGGGGTAGGCAGAGACTGTGGACTTCCATTTGGCACGATCCTGACACACCTCTCTCGCTTTTTCCACATCCATATACCTACGCATACACGTTCGTCGGTTAAAGGTACTCTTGATTTGGCCCATTTTCAATATATCGCCAATTTGGTCGATAAACTTTCGCCTAGCGCGTCCCTTCCCGACTCTGCCGTTGCCGACTGTTAATATTACCAGACAATAATGATTCTTATTATATTATACATTATATTACATGTACGGATTGTTTAATATAACTTAAAAATAATAATTACATATAAATGTAATTTTAAATTCACTGAGCCGATTAAAAACAAATGTTTATGTTTCTAAACGTAACAATAAGTTGTCCTCCTCATCAGCCTGTAAACAACTCACTGCTGGGCGTCAGTAGGAAGAGCTGCTTGACTTAGCAGGTGGATTGGCGATCGCATTAGCAGATGTCTTCATTGATCCTGATTCAGATCGCCAACTTGAATACATATTTATTTACTTAAATGATTAGACACTGTGCTAGTCATAAATACAGATAGAAATATGCAATAACAATAACTGCAATAACAAGCACACCAGATATTTTGACATTTGTATTATGTATCTATTCTCATCTGCTGCCACATTCATACAAAGAAAGCTAGTCACTCCTGATGACTACGTGGAACACCTCACAACCTGTAATTGTCCTGTCTCTCTATATCTTTTATACCGATACAAACTGGCCGCCTTGTTTCTGCTTGATATTCTGGACTTCAGAAAGGATGCGTTTAGTAACCCTTTCATCGGACATGCGTTTGACATATCCGCAACATCTAAATTGCCGTCGTATAAGTTACGCCTCGTTGCCACACACATTCACACGTCGAAGTAGATCGCCATTTGTAACCCGTATTAAACATTTGATATTCAAGATATGCTTCAGGTGAAACCTGTCTAACATTCGTATATGAGTGCAGGAGGTTGGAAAGGTCTACTGCAAGGTAGCTTAAGGTCGTCCGAGCGCAGTACTTGTCGTCGAAACTTGCTATTGCCCTCGTACCAGTGCGGTAGTGTTTTTTCTTTATAGGAGAGGGGGCAAACGAGCATGCGGCTCACCTGATGGTAAGTGACTACCGCCGCCCATGAACAACTGCAGCACCAGGGGAATTGCAGATGCGTTGCCGGCCTTTTAAAAAGGAGTACGCTCTTTTCTTGAAGATTCCTAAGTCGTATCGGTCCGGAAAAATCGCTGGTGGTAATCGATTCCACAAGGAAGTTGTGGACCGCCAATCATCCAGATGGTATCGATGGTATCACTAGTTTTGTCGCGATGTGCAGTGGTAAAATTGAGCGGCTGGAATTAGTCCGAACAATTTCTCAGAGCACTCCCCGTGATAGATGCGATAAAATACGTAAAGAGATGCAACATCTCTACGAAGTGCCATTGAGTCAAGCCAATCGGAAAGAACTCGCCCGTCGACGATTCGATACCGCTCTGCGCTAGATGCGGTCAAGTGGAAGGAGCTGACACTGGGGAGCCCCTGCTCAGAGATGGGAACAACCCACCACCTCCCATGGCCCTACCAACCTTGCGGTTATACGGGCCGAATCTCGAGAGATGCACGCGGTACTTGCTCAGGGCTCTTTCCCGCGAGCACTTTCTTTACTCTCTACAAGTTATTTAATTTACTTCTTGTCCCAGTTTGTCATTCTTCCCCTTCTGGGGCTGACGGCATTATTACGCCTACGTCTTCAGGCCTTTCTGCCAGCATTCTATCTTGCCTTATTCTTCGATCATGCCACCTGTGCGCAAACTCGCGCAACAGCCCCTAGTTCACCCCATCGCTGACGAGATCCGAGTAGTAGATCGGTCCTTGAACCGTACGAACTAATCCATCCATCATTTTCGTTCTTAGGTCGTCATATAGAGG